ACCTGACAAAAGAAGCTTCCCACCAACCTGGACAGCTGTGACTCCAAAGCCACACCGCCTTGAGCAGGAAGCTGCCAACAGGTCCTGGAAAGCTAGGCCACACCTCTGCCCTCGGTACTAGAAAAATGGATGCCTTGCACCCTGACTCTCAATGCTATCAAGCTGGTGACTATGCCACGGGACTTTGGCAAATGATGCTGAAGAAAACCCAAATGCTTCCAAAATGCCTTGGTTCCTACTTCTAGAACCCAGAGCATTTGATATTCCAGAATGAGTCTGTTTTCTTCCTCCAAAGTAAAGGAAAGCAAACCAGCAGGAGGCTGAATGGACCGCGCCAGCCAGTTGCCATCCACCTGCCCCACACACTTAGTTCCCATAACAGTGATAATACTCAGACACTTTTATTGATAGCACCCCATAAAGGTCAGGAATGTGCTCCAAGCCTATTGACTTGCTATGAAACTCACTCTTATAAATTCTTGTTTTCATATTACATTTTAAGTACTACTAGCATGTAGGAAAAACAAATTTCATAAATGTTTCACTTACTCTGGCGAGTGACACTACTTGTCATTTGTTTAAAATTTATTTCTGTTTTAACTATCCAAGAGATAATGTTCACAACTCAAACAATCTGAGTCTTACAGTCTTTGCTCATAACCTTTCTTCACTTTCAACTTGTAGATGGAGATTCCTCGATCCTATATTCTAACTCTCTACCTGCTCTTAAATTCTGGCAACCATGAACTTTCTGTTCCTTAAATCCCTCCCTTGCCCAGGGAATGGTCACCATTACTGTTGCCACGCTGGAATAAAATAACAGCCACATAGATACTCAACAAGTCACACACATGGAAAAAGTTCTTTTTTACTTAACTCTAAAATTCTCCTGAGCCAATTAAAACCATTCTTGTTGAGTCTGAGTGTTTAAAAGACAACCCCTTACAGAAATGGCAACATGTCTGGCTGCAGGCTGGTGAGGAAAGGTCTCTTTTCTAATTGTCACACCTTATACAAAAATCAACCAAAAATAGATCGTGGACCTAAATGCACAATACATAAATATAAAACTTACAGATATTATTTAAGATCTTTACCTTTGAGAAGGGTTCTTAGACATAACCATAAAAGTGAAATCTATAAAAGAAAAAACTGACAGAATGGACCACCTCCAAAACAGATCCCTTTAAGAAGATGAAAAGACAAGCTAACCGTTCAGAACATGGTCAACACAAGCATCTGGCTACAGCAAGAAGGAAGTGCCGCTGCTCTTCTCGTTTTCACAGAAGTTTTATTTTCAAATTCCTGAGTGCACACAGAAGGGTGGGAACATCTTACAGCTACTTTCCCCCACCCCCTGCCCCCCGAGGCTGACTGTGGCACAGCCAGACACCAGCCCCTGCCTATGGTCACATTCCAGACAGGCATTTACAAGAAAGCGATGATTAAAAGGCAACGGACGACCCCATCATTGAGACCCAGACCTAATATCATCCGTGGGGCAGTTTTCATGGAAATTATTTCTAAAACCAAACTCTACTGCAAAGTGGTTTTTACTTTCTTCTGTATACTTCCTTTCTCCTTATCTTCTCCATTTCCATTGAAGAGAGAGAGGACAGGAGAAATGGTATAAATGCCACTGAGAAGAATTTTGTTTGGGCTATGATGGGTGGCCTGGGCAGGGAACCCAGCACTCTGCAGAAGTGAAGGTTGCGAGGTGTAGATCATTGGAACCTGGTCATGCTGTAAATCAGACGAGATCAGGCGCGTTCAGGGTGGTATGGCTGTAGACGTCATGCTGTAATCAGAGCTGCTGAGTACCTTTCTTTCTTTACCTTTCTGCCTGGTAAAACTCCGAGAATGACTAGCTTGCCCTCAGCATCAGAAAGGATGTGTATGCTGAGCCATCATTTGGTCCTGCCTGAAGTCCCAGTACCCTCTTTCAAATGAGAAGCCCACATCCAGCCTTAAGAAAGGCATCTGAAAGGGAATCTTCTAACATGCACCAGTGATAGCTATGTTCTCTGCCCTAAACATGGTGGCTCTCCCTCCTCTATCCTCGTGTTTTTTTAAAGCCTCTGTGAAACATACCCAACCTCCCTGCGTTCCTCCCATCCCCTAAATATGCTCAGGTAACAGCAAGGAGGAATCTGTCAAGTGGGAAAATGATTAAGCAAGCAGGTTTATCTGTAGGCACAGGTCATCTGAATCGAGGGTAAGTTTCATCCCCTCCCAGGAGCACTGGTGGATTGAGGATCTGTCTAGTCTGAGCTGCACCCTCAGGGTACCCAGGTCTCCCCGCTGTGCTGCCTGAGCTGAGGATGGTCTCGAGCGACACACTGCACATGTGCAGAAGAGTAGCTGCAGACCTGGATTTGACCAGTCTCCTTCCAGCTCTGTGGCTTTGAGGCCTTAGCAGTGGTATGTGTGACATATGGGGCAGCCACTGGAGTGAGGAGAGTGAGGCACTCTCTAGGGGTATAAAATATAAGGGGCCCCCAAACACTCAGTAATCAAGACCAATAATAATTTACATGTGATTTAAAAAAACACCCTCAAAATTAAAGCAAAAATCCACAATGAACATGAAAAACTATGATATTTTAAATAAGGACAGAATCAACAGGGCTTTGGGGAAGATTGTAAAATTTTGTGGATTAAGGTAAAATGACAATGTATAGATACTAAAAAGATACCCAGGTGTCCAAATGGCACCAACAGTGGCTTTGCAGGAGGTCCCAGCTCAGTTCCAAATCTGCATCCTCTGAGGCCTGGAGGCACCAAGGGCTGGGAGACACCTGCTGCTCTTGGCTCCCGGCTCTCAGGGGAGCTGTGGCTTGGTTAAATAAAGCCAGGCACACAGGAGTTTTCCTGAACATAAAGGTGAATGAGGCCCCTGGCAGGGAGAATGTGCTTAGTCTCTCTCTGACTCACTTTCCTGTTTATTTCCCATGCAGGTTCAACTAAAGTACTCCGCAAGGTCAGGTGCGGCTGGGAGGACATTTCCACACAGGCCACCAAGAGGTAATCAAGGGCCGCACTAAACCCACTGGCCCAATGCCAGTTCATTTTCCGGAACCACAGCTCCCCTTGTTTGGGCAAGCTTCTCATTCCTTTCCTCTCACTGTGTTCCTTTGTTTTTATCCAGGAGTTGTAAAAATCCCAGGCCGAAAGCCCCTCATAAAGCTGGGAGATTAGACATCCAGGATGCACTTTTTAATCGGCTGTGGCTCTGCACCCGCAGAAACTTTATAGCAGAGTGCTCAGAGTAAAACTGGGAGTTTTGCAGAAGGGCTGCCACATCAAGAGAAAACACCAGCCGCCCTCCGTAATTCCTAGGGCAAGGCTGCCATAAGCTCCTGCAGCCTCTTGCCCTGAGGCTTGCTTCCCGAAGCTGCCAGTATCTATCTACCTGTACTGCCAACTGTGTTTGGCTTGCATTTGAGGAACTTCCTGCCTGTAAGACAAAGGGCCCATTATCTAACAGGTTCATTGTCCTGCAAGTATGGGGGAAGGCACAGAGGCATTTATTCTTATCTTCATTTTATTTTACAAAACACAGGCTATCTTTACAGAGAATTGAACCCCACTCACTTTCTGCAAAGCACAATGGAGAAATTCCACTCCCAAACTGTCTCCTGGTGCTCTTGCTTCAAGCAGGAGGGGGTTTAAGAGAGCACGAGGCTCCATAATCCAGCTGCAAAGCCCCAGCCGGTACTGGTGTGGAAGCCAGTATCCTCCTGACACTGCCTGGGCCCACAGGCTCCTTTGGTGTATCACACCCTTTTGTGCCCCTTGTCTTCATTTGTAAACGAGCCAATAGGAATGGAAGGCCTAAACTAACTGCTTCTGCCATTTAATTAACTTTGTGACCTCCAGAAATGAAAACAAAACAAAACAAAACAAAAACAAAAAAACCCAAAACAAATAACAGATTTTTCTATGGCTTTTTCCCTCTCATTTCTGAAATGAGGAACTTGGATTCTAAGCTAAAAGAAGAATAGAAATTAATATTAAAAATTAATATTGGTAATGCAAATAAGAGACTTTTTTTTTAAGGATAGCTAGGACAATGCCTGAACCCAGTCTCATCATCTGCAAGTGAGGAACAAATTCAGGAGACCTCCTCATACCTTTCATCTCTTTTCTTCTTCAAGCAAAGCCTTTTCTAGGCTTTACAAGGCAGAATTTAGTTGTCTTGTGCATGGGGCCAAATCCTGAAGCATTTTCGAGCTGACCTAGTTCCTGACCCCATCTGTCTGTAAATGCAGGTACCAAGTGGGAACCTTGAAACAGCAGGTTAAGCAACCAGCACAACTGGCAAAGAGGGAAAAGTCCCCATAAAGTGTACATTTTGTTCAAGGTCCAGAAAAAATAGCAGAGCAAGATAGAAAGTGAATATCCAATATGAATATAAGTGGTAAGGCAGAAAGAGAGAAACCTCCTATTTTTCTTAAAAGCTTATTGAAAAGAAATGCTATGCCAAATGCCTGCCAAGCCCCACTACCCTTTCATGTTCTGGAGGGTGAGTAGCCCAAGTTTACAGCTTTCACTAACATTACACTGGTGTTTTGACTACATTGCACCTCTTCTTCCTGAAGCCATTCGCAGCCTCCCCTGGACTGCCAGTCACAGGGCTCATACCCCAACTGGCCAGGCTTCTGAGATGAGCAAGGTGGCTCCTGAGAAACAACACTCATTCTGGTTTGTCCCCTCCTATTCCCTATACCAAGAACACAGGCAAATTCCGCTGGCATTTTGGCTTGAGCGGCTAAGCCCAGGGAGTCTGAGTTGGCCCAGTCCCAAAGACATCTTAGACTTGCTGCTCCCCAGCAGGCCAGCCCTCGTGTTTGATGTTCAATCAGTGAAGGTTCTTAGGACTTGTGTTTTTACAAATCAAGATCAAATTAACATTCAGTTGCAGGGGTATGTGTTCAGAAGTATAAAAACAGACACATGCAATAATAAAGAGACATTAGAAAATGATTTTTGAGGCTCACCCAGAGATCTTTCTTTCGTCTGGTTGGTTGTTCTCACCACGGGAAGGCTTGCTCGAGTCCGGCTGCCTCTGGAGAAAGGACTTGGAGCTTCTCCCTCAGACATGGCTTCCAAAGAATCACCTGATGTCTCTGATAAATGCTCGACCGGCTCACCCAAACTGGGAGGTTGAGGACTGTGAGACAGTTTAGGGCTTCTTGTCTGGAAAAGGCATTTGAAAGAAAGTGGAAAAATAAACTTATTAATTATGCTAAAAATATTTCAATCCCATCAAAGTCTACCAGTCTACAGAAACAGTATAGCAAGGGGAGGAAGTCCATCAGGAACACTAGATGGAATTAAAGACCCAGTGGGTCAAAGTTCTAGCTGTAAAAGTTGCTGGGGAAAAAAAAGCAAACCAGAAAATTCTGACCATATTGCCCCTGAGCATTCCATTAAGATTTTTATCTCTGAACATCTACCTTACAAATGCCATTTTGAACAAGGCATTGAGAACAAGCCACATTATAGGAAGTAATGATGGTATATCAATTCCTTTTGCCGAACAAATTCTGACAGTCATTATAATACATGGGATTGTGCACCTTTATAGGCAGCCACGAGCCCCATCACAGCATTTTGGTCACTGCTGGACTGCAGACACAATGGTGGTTCTATAAGATTATACACAGCCTAGGTGTGTACTGGGCTATACTATCCAGATCTGTGTACTCTATGATGTTCTCGCAATGACAAGATCACCTAATGATGCATTTCTCAGGACATATCCCCGTCATTAAGAGGCATATGACTACCTAAATGGATAGTGCATTTACATCAGAATATACTGAACACTACCTGTCCTTTAACTCTTATATCAAGAATATTTCTAAAATCAATAACCTAAGATTTGAGGGAAATATTTATATCATAGTCGAACTTTCTTTTGAGGCACAAATCCTAAAAATAAGATGATGTCTATTTGATTATTACCTTGACAATCAGCATGAGGTTGTAAAAGTAACTTACACACATATATAATTGACTTTCTCTCTTAGTTATCTATATTATAATGGCAGGAAGTAGGATGTGTAAAATCTACAACCTTATAAGCTATTAGTCAAAGACATTTCTTGACCACGTATTACTGACTGAACACTGTGGAAGATGCAAAAAAACAGACATGGGGCCTGATGTCAGAATTTCAAAACTAATCGATGAAATTAGTGAAGGACAACAAACAACACAACATATCATATCATTAAGTGTAAACTATGAACTGCGTGGTGCATCTGCTCATACTTTCTACAGACATCTGTTGAGCATCCACCTTGTTCCAGGGACTGTGCTAAGTCTGGGGACAGAATGATGCACAGAACAGACATGACTCCACCCTAGTGGTGCTTACAATCCAGTCAGGTAACAGACATCACCACAAATTAAAGGTGCAACAACCCAGACTAGTGAGGGGGTGGTGCATATGGGTGGAGGGCTGGGAAAAAATGTAAACTGTGGAGGGAAGTTGGGAGGAAAGGAGAAACTGCAAGGGAGGAGTGAAAAGCAGGAAAGTCATTCCAGGGGGAGGGAACAGTACATGCAAATTGCCTGAGGCTGAAAGAAGTGGCCAGCATGGAGGAGGCTTGGTGGGGCTAGAGTCTGGCAGAGACCAGAACAAGACGTAGAGGCCTGGAGTCAGGGTCAGAATTCTCAGCTTGACTCTAAGGTACTACAATATCATTTAGGCAAGAAAAGGGGCCAGGGGGCCAGGATCAGATACTCTTTTTAGAAGATCACTCTGTTATTGTGTAGAGATTGCAGATTATACATGTAGATAGTCAGAGAAAGGGAGTCAGTGAAACTGGGGGGTATTCAGCTGAATGACTGTATTATCTCAGCTTTCCTCTCCCACCACCTGCCCTGACATGTGCCTTTTGGGAGGCAACCTGATGAGTTAATCAGGTAGGTGAGTTTTTACTTCGCAAGATGCCAAAGGTACTGATGGGCTGCTGGTAGGATATAGAGTTTGTATATATGTACTGTCAGTGTCCCTGATGGCCAGTTTTTCGGTTCTTTGCATTCCTTAATTTTCGTTGTCTTCCTAAGGATGTGAATGCATTTTGAAGTTTGGCACCGAGGCACTTTATTGTCAAGGCAGGACCTGCTTGGTGGGTGTGCAGCCAGTGCGGTCACACAGGACCCTGCCCTTGAAAGGGCTTCCTGGTTGGTTTCACAATCTGCTGTGTGTCTTGAAATCCTAATGATTTTAGCAAGAAGGTTCACTGATAATTATGTAGCCAGAACTGCCTCAGGCTCCCCCTACAGAGCTCTTTCAGGGATGCCCAGATGTGCCAGATGCTTTAGGGAAACCCTGAGAGGGTGCAATGATCAGCTTCTTTCCCATTTTTCTTCCTAAAACTACATGGACACTCCTCTTGGCAGGATGTGCACCTTGCTACACCTCTCAGGGCCTTTCCTTGGGGGAGACCGGAATGAGGTCAGCACACAGCACCTCACACCCCCTTCAGTGCAGGATGCAGCTTCCAAGAAGTGGACGACCTGGGTGTTCCATGGGAAACACTCAGCTCAGATCATGTGCCAATAACAGAGCCAGAAAGAATACCCACTGACAGTTAAATTGTGTCTCTGGGTTCATTTTTCGGTGCAAGCATCCAAAGTAGTTTATTCCCAGATTTGTTTCTTATAAAATTTGCTTCTATTATGGAGATTAAGATCTGGCTTTGGCACTGTTTAAGAGTACTGTTTGACTAGAAAAACCAACCCTACATCATTGTGCAGCTCCCCCAAATTTGCATAAATTCATATGGTCTTCAATGAAGTATGTAGAGCAATGAACCTGGTTACTATGTTCAGCAGAATATCAAGCTCAGATGTCCTTAACCCTGACTTAAAAAAAAAAAAAGACATTCAGTTTAGCAAAATAGCTAAGAAATAATATTACTTGAAACAACATGGTTTCATTTTAGAACCTCGGTTGTCTGGTGATCTTTGCAGCCTATGGCACACATGATACGTTTAATGAGTTGTCATTTTCCAATGCAAAGGGCAATAATCCTTGAAGAAAATCAAAATTAAATTTCCTTTTCTTGTTCAGAGTCATCATGGTAGTAATATGTATAAAAATAAAGATGTAAGGGCTAAATCTTCATATTTAGCTTCCTGTCCACAGCAACTCAGTTCCCAAAACTCCTCCTCTTGTTTTAATGTCATTCACTTTCTCATGACAAATAATAGTTTGCATCACTTTGTCATGCAAACTATTATTGCATATTAGCAATCTCCTCACACAATACCTTCCCCTCTGATGCCAGCTCACTGCTGAGAGACATCACTTAGTGCAAAGAAAAGACAATGGGAATTGCTGACACCAGTGTCAAATACCCTATGATTTTGAAGAAACAAGTAAAAAGCATTTGGAACAGGGATTCAGTGCTCAGTATAGGGCTAGGCTCCAGGGGTTAGAAGTGTCATACATGGTTCTTGAGCTCAGAATGCTTTTAAGGTACAGTTTGTAGCTAAAGACAATATGCACTTAACATCTGGACAAGAGCTAAGAGGAGGTCAGTGTGAGTGTAGAAGGGCTTTTGGGGGACAAGTGCTGACATTAAAGGGTCGGCTGGGAGAAGAGGAAGAACATGGGTGAGGAAGTGCTAAGGGGTGCACGGAGCGAGGTCACCTGCTGGTGTTTCCAGGTCTTCATGCACTCAGCGGACATACAAAAGGGGAAGGTGAGACAACTAAGTTTTTCCCTACTGTGCACACTCTGAGGAATGGGGGCCTGATGTCTTCCCCTGCTCCTTCAACTAAGCTAACAGATACATGTCATCCAACAGCAGTTGAGTACCAAGTTGTCTCTTTCCACAGGCAACTAACTTATGGCAGGATTATTGCTCCTGCAACCTTCCCAGTAATACTGAATACATAAAAAAGCTCCATTCTTATTAGTTGACTTGACACTTAACCATTTTTGAAAGGGTTCCTGCCACCAAAGGATGTTCCCCTGCTCCAAGGAATCCTTCCCTGCCCACATGAATAAGCCCCTGAAGCCCAGTGTTCCAAATCTAGAGTCAACATACTTTGCAGCTTCTCTGGGACAGTTCTGCTTTGTACCTGTTGTGCTAATGTATTATTATTATTAGTAACCCCCTTTCAATCTCAAACATACACTGGTTTGAGCAATAAAGTATATGGTCAGCACTCCCAGCCCCATCTCAAATGATTAGACTGAGCAATGCTCACCTAATTTTAGATAGACCAATAATTTTCTTCTCCCCTGGAAATGCAGACCTGGGGAAGAGGAGCTATTAGTGTCTATTGAGAATGTGAAATGTGAGGTCAGTTGCCGCTGAAATGGGCAGAGAAAGAAAGTACAGAGAACACATGAAGCAGATTTGTATAGGAAAATGGAGATGAGAGATGTCCATGTCCCCAGTGGGAAAGCCTAAAAAATAAAAAAAAGAGGAGCTATCTGGGCCCCCAGGAATCACAGTTCCTAATTCTAGTAAACTAGGCCCTTAAAATTAATTCCTTCCAATCAATTTTAATTTTTGTTCTTAAACTAGTTTAAGATGACTTTGTGCCTTGCAAACTGACCACTGACAGAGACCAATTCTAACAGCTCCCCTGCCCAGGCTGCTTTGATGCTCACACATTTATAATATTAGTAATAACCATGGGGAAAGCTAACCTCTCTGGAGCAATAATTCCCATAGTTTTATATTTCAAAGATTGAACTTACTCTAAAAATATATAGAGAGACTTTTGGTCAAGATGGCAGCATAGGTAAACACAGATATCTGCTTGCACAACCACAACAAAATAACAATTAAAATATAGAACAACCATCATTCAAAACTATCAAAAGTCAAGTTGAATGGAAGTCTGATAACCCTGGAATTAAAGAACCACATCCATCCAGACTGTTAGGAGGGACAGATGCAGAATGGTTTGATCATACATCCACATCTGGTGGATAAAAATTTGGGAAGAATATTTTGGGAGTCCTTGCTCTACACCAGCCCCCCCTAGCTCCAGGTTCCAATGCCAGGAAGATAAGTCCCCATAACTTCTGGCTGCAAAAACTGTGGGGATTGAGTCTGTGGAAGAAACTGCTGGAGCCACAAGCACTTCCCCTTAAAGCAGAAGAGTCAAACTCATTTTCACTGGGGGCCACATCAGCCTTGTGGTTGCCTTCAAAGGGCCGA